CCCTCTGTGTGTGTGTCTCTATATCTCCCTCTCTGTGTCACTCTGTGTATGTCTCTCTCTGTCTCTCTCTCTGTGTCTCTCTTGTCTCTCTCTGTCTCTCTCTGTGTGTCTGTCTCTGTCTATCTCTCTGTCTCCCTCCATCTCTCTCTGTCTCTCTCTGTCTCTCTGTCTCTGTCTGTCTCTGTCTATCTCTCTGTCTCCCTCCATCTCTCTCTGTCTCTGTCTCTCTGTCTCTCTCTGTGTCTCTGTATCTATCTCTGTCTCTCTATCTCTCTCTGTCTCTCTCTCTGTCTCTCTGTCTCTGTCTCTCTCTCTCTCTTTCCCCTCCCCCCATGGTTTTTATCAGCTGTTGGTGCTCAGTGATAACATTTATTAATTAATTGGGAGGTATAAAATTACAATATTCCAGTCTGTCATTTATTTTTCACTTATTAACTGATTTTATATTAATATTCTGAAATAAGCAACTGGTTTTCTAAAACATAGTAATAAACTCATGAATTTAAGCCCAGAGGAGGGCTTCGGTCAATTGCAATTACTATTCTCTTGATGCTCAAATGACCCCAGTGGGAGACTCTTAGTTTGACTTCTGAGTAGCTGTAACCTTGGACAGAAACCTTCAAGACCTGAAGCAGCAAGATGTCCCAGCCCTGTCTTGTAGTTTTCCAGCCCCAGGTTTGACATCAGTCATTTAAAATACTATGTCAAGGCCACCATCTGGATGCTGAAGGATGCTTATTGCTACTGACTGGTCATTCTTTCTAGATGTTTTTTTTTTTTATGAACAGTGAAATATATGCATATACATTTATCTATAAAATTTTTCAGGTAAGCTATCTGCATTAGTCAGCCTTTCCATTGCTGGGACATGATACCCAATGCCCACAATTCAAAGAAGCAGAAGTTTAATTTGGCTCATGGTATAGGAGATTAAGTCCATGGTTGACTGGATATGAGACAGAAACATGATGGTGGGTCAACTCAGAGAAGCCAGGATGCAGAAAAAGAAAAGAAGAACTGGGGAGAGATGCACATTCTCCACAGGTATGGGCCTAGCGACCACTGCCTCTGACAAGCTCCCATCTCCTAGCAACACTGAAGTCATCAATGTGCCAACTCTGACAAGTACAGTGCCTCCACAATCCAAGCATCTCCCACAATCCAACCTCTGAACACAGGAGACTTTGGGGGACCATTCCAATTCCAAACTATAATAGTATTTAGTTAATTCATAGTGACTCTTTAAATTCAAACATGATACTATAGAATTTTTTTAAATCTCCTCAGTATCATGTCTACATGTGTCCTTCCTAAAGTCGCAATTGCCAAGGACAAGGTAATTGATCAAATTAAAATATCCAGTGCTTATCATTTATGTATTCCTCCCCATACACATACCAGTGTTAGACTATCACTCCTAGTACTACCATCATTAATGTATTTCATAACTATTGAGAGCTGCTAAAATAGATTTTTGTATATGCTTTTCCCATTTCTCCACCACTTTAAATCTTGGAGCCCTGTTATCCAAGCATAAAGAAATTACATAAAATATCCATTCCCTTTCATCCTCATTTAGTCTTAGCTCCCCCAAAAAGTGAATGATCAATGTTTGTCCCCCCACCCTTAAGTGGATACCCCTCAACTGGCATTGTTTTCTGAAGCTCATGCCTCAGAACGGGCTCTCAGGAGCTGTCTCCTCTCATTGCTGGGACAAATACCCCATACCCCAAGTGGCGGAAGGAAAGGTTTATTTAGCTCACAGTCACTGGAGGTTTCAGTCCACACACAGTTGGCTCCAAAGCAGAGCAGCACATAACAGAAAGTAGCCTTTCATGGAAGAGGCAAAGAGCAGAGAGCAAAAGGGAGGAGTAGTGGCAACAATGGCTACAGAGGACAAGTCTGTCTCCCTTAAATTTCATTCAGACTATCTGCCCAAGGCTGGGTGTACTCACACCCAAAATCCCAGCAGCACTCACACCCATAATCTCAGTGAATCATGAGTTAATCACAAACTGCACAAGTCTACCCCATGGCTGTATGAGGCTTTGGGGGCACAACTAGATACAAACCATAACAGGAGCAATATTCTCTGAATCCTGCATGTTACTAACAGATCATCTGTCTCCATTACTAGAAATTCAGCATTTTGCTAGACATAAAAACTGTTGGTACACAATGTCCTTCCCCAAATAGCTTAAATATATTAGTAAAAGTCTAATGATAATTATTTTTCCTTATAAATAACTTACTGCTTTTGCCTAGGAGTACAACAGACACTCTTATTTCCCATGAGGACTAGTCACCTCACTAGAAAATGTCCTGGTTTTGAAGCATACAAGCATGTTCTCTCAATGTAAGGCTTCAAGTATTTATTTTCTAATTTCAGAAAAGTTTTTAGTCTTCTCTCAGTTCCTTTGGTTTGGTGTTATTCTTCTGGCATATCTATTATCCATGTATTGACTCTGCATGGCTTGTTTTTGATGGAGTACCTTATCTCTTGGATACCTTTTATTTCTTCATTTGCTACTCCGTTATTTTGTGGCACTGGAGATTGAACCAGGGGCCTTTGCACTTAGCTACGTTTTCACCCTATTTTCTTTCAAGACAAAGTCTTGCTAAGTTGTGCATGCTGGGCCAGAATTTTGATCCCAGTGTGCCACCAGGCCTAGCTTTTCATTTGTTTTTGAATCTTAAAATTATTCCTCCTTTCACCTTCTGTTTCTCTTACATCATCTATTATTTTCACTTATTCTTATGTTCATTGCAGTTTAAGCTTCATTTCCTTGATAATTTTTATTCTTCCCTGAGTTCTTTCATCCCACAGCTGAGTTTTGCTAATTCTGATTTCTGCTATTCTTTCATGTCTTATAGCATGTTATTAATGCCTCTTAGCTCATTTTAGAATCATGTTATGTTTTAATCTTTTTTGGCTTGACTTCCTGGCATGCTTTGACTATCTGTAGGGATGCTATTCTGTGCCTTATTCTTTTCTTCTTATAATAACTCTGTATGGGAATTGACCTAGATACATTTCTGTTGTTCATTTTTATGTGAAATTAGTTTTCAAAAACTCTTAGGAAGAGGTGGTACAGGTTAGCTTTTCTAAATACATGGCACTCCTTCTTTTGTTGTTTTTGTGTCATGCTTAAAAATACAGGATAGCTTGCTTTCTGAGACTCTAACTCTTCTCCACCGTCCACTTTCATCTGGAATCCCTTTATGCTTTATTTTCGTGCAGCTCAATTTTGATCCAAACCCAGCAGCTTCTCCTCAGTGTGGGCCCTGGAAGGAAGCTTGGGTGGGTCTTTTTCTTTTTTA